TTGAACGAACAGTCTGTGATGATGTCCAGTACATCGGAGAAAATTTCCGAGGTCTGGCACTCATATTATTTTTAGAGGTCGGAAAAGATGCTGGCACAAACAAACTCGATCTAGCGTGTGTTACAAGACTCTGTAAGCGTGTATGTCTGGTTGGGTTGTGATATATTAAATATAATTTTTCTATTAAGGTCTTTATTTGTGTTTTTTTTTGTGACAAATATTTGAACTCGCGGATGCAGTTGTAAATTTTTGCATGGGAAGGTCAGGCATCTCCATTAGCTTCTTGCAACTGATAAATATCTGTTGAAACTTGACTAATGCTTGGAATAATAATGCAACACAAAATGTATTTAGAACAAAATGTATTGAAACAAGAAAGTGTACACAATATTTACATATAGTCTTTTGTATATTCCTGGTAAGACCGTTCCTGGAGAATGTGTTGATTGAGTCGCAGTCGGGCAGAGTCTCTGGATTGAATCTCTTGATTCCTTCCTCTCTTCCCGGTACCAACCATATTTATATAGTCGGTACTCCACTATGCAAATTAGGTGGATCCTACCACAACAATATCCAAAGGATGCTTGCAAGCAACTGGCAGACGAAATTGTGCATTTAAAGAGGATATTTCGTGACACAATTTCGAATTGTATTGGAATGGATCACATCGAGAATATTCCAAAGCCAATTGAACTCTTGAACAGGATCAATACGTTAGGTTTGTCGGGAATTTTCCTTAATATTTTCGTTTCTCTCCGAATCTTCTGCGTCATTGCAGCAACAGCTGCATCTGCAGTGTGCACTTTTAATCACTTAAAACGAATAATGAACTATCAACCCACAACACTGCTTCAAGACCGCCTTATCAACTTGGTAACTCTTGCAATCAAGTGTGATTTGGCACGAGAATTAGACTTTGAGGAACTCATCGCCCGTTTTGCTTCAATGAAAGTTCGAAAAATGCGCTTTTAAGCTGCTTTGGAACTGGTTTTAGTTTTCATATTTTTTCAATAAAATACCGATTCGTAACTTTGCTCTTTATGTTTTGCAAGGAAGCCCCCCCACCCCAAAAAAAACTCTAAAGGTATTTTCTTGAGGTCCCTCGGGTTTCGAGTGCCGGCTGTTCCCACCTCTCGCCGCCACTGGTGATGCCCAAATGCAAACACGTTAATAAACACACGCTGGCCCAATAAGGACCCGGATGAGAATTCATACGTTATTTTTTCTTCACTTCCTGTTCTACCTGCTCTTTCCTCCCCCACCCACTCCTTGATGATTTTACTTATGGTGTTAGGTTAGGTTATATAAACGGGAAATTATAGCGCTACAAATTAACTATTTACCAAAGACCACCTGATAATCTACCTAACGAGTTTGAATAAATAGATGGAAAAACAGGTCTTAGAAAAAATAACAGAAAGATGAAATTTATTAAGAGCTAAAAGGAACAGGAAATTGTGAAAAGCCATGATCCCCTACGCTATTCATTTTGAATGCTATCAACTTTTTTCCGTCCCATCTTTTACAAACGTCCACGGAACAAGAAGACCCGCCAATGAAAATTCTGATGGTTACTCAAAAAGATTGAAATCCGGGTAATGTTAACGGCGAATTTTTCAATCTTTTATATTAATATTATACGTTCTACGTATTCAATTTTTTTAGAGTAGTATATTGAGCACTTTCTTAAAATATCCGTCCTATGATCTGACTCCAGTCTGGCCAAATAATTTTATATTATTATATATATATATATATATATATATATATATCATATATAGTCATAAATTGTGGGATTATTCACCTTGACTGCCATGGTACATCGCTTCACGCCCGCTAGATGGCGTGACAATAAATGGTATAAAATGAAAGTCATAAATCTTATTTCTCTTTCTTGCCCTCTCAACCACGAGATGCAGTGGTAACAAGATGGATTTAGTTTTGCCTATTGGCGAGACTTCTTTTCCCGCGTGAACCGACTTAGTTTTAATCAAACCACATAGCGTACTCGCACAGACACACGCATATACATACACTACTACTGCTACTACTACAACTAATCCCATAAACGTTTTTTTTTCTTTCTTTTTGTTTATACGCACCAGTATATTTTCTACCTTCCTGAATTATGTTGTTCTTTATAAAAAAATATGTATACAAATTTTCCACGTGTTGAATTCATTCATTTTGAAGGCTATCAACTTCTTTCCGTCACAATTGGCAAGCGCGTCTATTACAAACGTCCTCGGACCGACCAAGAAGTCCTGCCAATGAAAATTTTGATGGTTAGTCATTTTGACAGTTGTGTGTGTGTGTGTGTGTGTGTGTGTGTGTGCGCGCGCTTTGATCTCTTGATATTGGAAACGCAACAAATCGAACGCGTTGAACAAATAAGCTTTTCTATCTGATGTTTTCCTGTCCATACTCGGAACTTGTCTTCATGTTCAAAATGCCAATTCACTGATCAGAATTGTCGAATATAGTTAATATATAGACGAGTGATTCTTACTGATTCGACTGTCAAATTACATCTGCAACCAAGTGTTAAAAAAAGACAATTTAATATCTCGGAGGTATTGCGAATTTTACAAATATGAGACTGACTGTGCAAAAAGTTCGTTTTTATTAAGCCTTTGTTAAAAAAATACTATTTTAGCAGAAATCTAACATATAACGAATAATCAGTTGTTGAACACCGTAACACTTCGTTATAGCAGCAAGTTTTTCTTCAGAAGGCATTGATTAGTTTGTCAGCGAAAAGGCGGGAAGACGAACAGAATTGGTCGGATTATTGTTCACTAGTAGTTCCCGAGAAAATTTTATGATTATCCTAATTTAACATAAATCTTAATTCTTAAGTTAATGATTGAATAAAATTCTTGCGAATTCTATTAGCCATGAAAGTCGCTTAAATGCATCGTGAAATATTTGAGTTTAACAAAATATCCCAATTTAATTATTTAAAAACGTAAGAGGTTACAAATGAAAATATTCGAAGTTGACAAGTTTTTTTTCTATTCCACTGAAGCAGACGTTAAACACGTGATAACGTTATCACTTCTTTCTTTCTTTCTTTCTTTCTTTCGCTGAAGCCAAACAGGATCTCTGATATGTTTTTTTCGTCTTTCCGTGCGATCGAATAGTCCATTAATAAAGGGTGTTTCATTAAGACGGATCAAAGTCAGCAGTAAATAAATCAGTGTTATTGGTGAAAATGTATTTATTTCTCTATTGATCATGTTATTTAAGTCATGGCAATTACGTGTGAAAAATAATATCACCCAAATGTTCGCCAAGGCTTCGGCAGCACACCTCCACTGGATGGTCAAAATTTTTGATGACATCTCTGCATACTCGATCTTATCAATATGCCTTATCTCATCCTTCAGTTGTTGAATTGTTGTTGGGTTGTTGGCATAGACCTTACTTTTGAAATGACCAGAAAAGAAGAAATCTAAAGGCGTCACACGATCGTGGTGGCCAATTGACTTTGCTGTTTTGAGAGATGATGCGACCTGGGAACTTCTGTTTGAACGTCCATTTTCGTAATAGGCTTCGATAACTTTAACACGTTGTTTAACTGTTAATCTTTCCATGATTGAAATTGCCAAAGACTTAAATTATTAAATCTGAAAGAAAAAGAAAAATCATTAGACGCTTAAACTTAATTCACATTTAAAATCGGTCCAAGTTATTGGAACAGCCTTTATTTGCGCGTAAGTAAATGTAACGAACCCGACTGGAATTCGAACTTGGCTCTCCGATTTCTCATCCCGAGTCGTTATTCATTACCACAACCGCGCACCCAAGCTTACAGCATCTCGTATTTTTAATACGAGATGCTGTAAGCTTGGGTACTGACCAAACTTGCCGTTGCTTAACTTCGGTGATCGGACGAGAACAGGTACGAATATACAAAGATCAATGTTTCTATCATGATACCCAATTTGATAAGAGAATACGTGACACATGCATTACATCGAAATATACGCGATATGGCGAGTGGAAGTGATAAAAGCAGTATCAAAATTTGTGAATGGTGTCAAGTTAGAATGGCCCTCAGGGTCGAGTAAGCCAGAACACTCAGTTCCGAATTCAACTTAGCTTACCTCATCCTTCAAACTTAAAAGGAAAATCTATCTTGACATCTCGTCACGATGACCCTCCCTCCCCAACAACTTCCGCTCATGAACGGAGATGCACACTGTGTCAGCCCCTGGGGGGACATGCCCAACTAGTTACGGTCAAATGACAATCAAATCTGTAGTACTGTAGAGCATTTTAATTCAGGAAGACAAAACATTAACATGTTAACATCGCCATGAATGTCATGCCTGGTGGAGAATCGAGGCATTTATTTTATTTATTTATTTTTTTTATTTATTTACTTATTATTATTTTTTATTATTAATATTATTTATTATTATTTATTATTATTATTGTCATTATTATCATTATTATTATTATTAAGAAGGAAGCATATTATTTTAGATTCAGAAAAAAATCCGTTTTTATTATTAAGTCTGATATTTTTTAGAAAAAAAACGATTTTGGCAAGTCTGATATTTGCAAAATCGCATGAAATTCCCTATGGTATGATGGTTATCCAGAAATTTAACTACCCTCCCCCACAACTCTGTAGCCTTTCATCTGCAAGCATCGCCAGTAATTGTTTTTCCACTGTTTGAAATTCGTTATCTTCTTTTCTTTTATATTTACATCTGAAATTCTTAACTGTAAAAGAGTTTTCCGTGTTGCATAGTTCTATAGAAAATTGTAGAACCCCCCCTCAAAAAAAAAAAACACGACTTTAGTGTTCGAACTCAAGTAAATAAGCCAAGCTTCCGAACGATGATTTTTCTGCACAGGAAGCCTACACCCAAATCCTAACTCCTGTTACTCAAGTGTATTTATCCGCACACCCACACGAAGGGAATGTTACTTTAGGTGGGGGTTAAAGTAGGAGCCAAGGCGTATATGGACTAAACACAAAACCCGCTCTAACCTCCTCGGTATTTCCGCTTGTGGCGACGCCTCGGGCGTAAGGTAATTACTCTAGCCCACCTCCCGATGAAGAAGTATTGTCTAGGAGGGCGGCTGTCTTGTACTTGAGCACATTATATTGAATTTCAAACGCCCGGCTTGGCTGAGCCAGGTAAGTCTAAAGTCTGACGTAGCATAGTCTATCTATAGAAATACCACCTGCTCATTTGACCATGTGCTGTACTAAGCAAGCTTAATAAATACCAAATTTAAGAAATGTTTAAAAGTTGTATCTAACAAAGCCTTAACGAGAAGTCATATGAATAGTAATAATCATTCATTTTGAACTGAGGGAAGCAGACGATATTGGTTGAGATCAATGCGAATCCAAATTGTATCGCTTTAGTTCAGGTGCAAACACTGAGAGGCTTGAACGATTAAGGGTTAATAGGTAAGTGTTTATGGTGACCTTCTGATGAACAAATTGGGCGAGGAAGATGATCTCTGTGGAATAGATTTCTAGGCTAAGTATCTTCGAAACTGGGCACAAAATTAACGAATGTCGTAGCTTAAAAACACATCTTTTTCCCACCACAGAATTTCTCAAAAAGATTCTCCGAGTTTTATTTGCGAAGTTGTGGGCAAATCTCTAACCAGGCACCACAGACTAGATTTGATTTCATTTGTTTGTTTAACGGTATATCAACTCCTTATGGGTCATTTAATACCGAAATTTAATTTTCTTGAGCGCTTTGAAGTAATAAATATGTTATTCTGCGTTCACAATTGAATACATGGTAAATGATACCCAGCTTTTATGCATATACATGTTGTGTGGTCATGATTACTAGAGGCGGTGATATGTGTGTTTTATGTTGTTTTGTTGAAGTTATATTTTGGAATACAGTTGTTGGATATCAGTTGAGGAAGACCTTTAACTTCACTTCCGCTGCAACAGAGAGTGAGCGTAAATCGGAATCGGTGATAGCATAAACAAGAAATGGCTAAAACAAACAGGACGCACAGGTGTCCTGAGTAGAAGGAAGTGTGTGCTTACGTGGAAGCATGCCGGAAGAGGCGTGGCCACACGAAGTTGTGTGGGTACATGGCCGGAAGAGGTATTGCCACAAAAAGTTTCATAAGCGACATACCGGAAGAATGCGTAGCCACGTGAAGTTGCGTAGGTGTCCAAATGTTATAAAAACGGTCCAACTCTTGGCCTGAGAGAGAGAGGCTGGCTAGAATTTCACCGAAGAATTTGCCTCCGTCAATTCCTGTGTGCACAATCCTAACCTCTCTACCCAATTGCCGCAACTCGAACAATATAGCTATTTATATATTTTTATATATAAGTGTTCGTTGTCTTATTTGAGTCCAGCAGCAATATACAACACAGTTTGATTTCTTGAAGAAATTGTAGAATATTATATTGATTAATTTCATCAAAAAGCTCTTTTATTTTGATTGATGTATAATTGGTAATTTTACTATAAATAGGTATTGTTGGTAATTTCTTTTTATATAAAAATATATTACGGGTATTTTACGATAAAAATGTATTTTTATACTTTCATAAGTTTTTTTTTTTTTTTTTTAGAGGTTCACTATTTGCCCATAGCTGGGACCCTAACAGGTGCTACCACCCTGTGTCAGCGTGGACCTGGGAACAACTGCAATTAAGAGGTGGTCACACGCTCCTCAAAATCTCCAATCTCCCGATTAGAGGCCTTTTAAATGTAGTTTATAGTCACACCCAGGACTACCGCGGACTAACAATGCTAACCTATTTTTCACTTCAGGACGTAGGCGATCATGACTCTCCACAGCTTTTTTTTTATTTTTTTAATGTCATTTTAAACGAAAGCGATCTTATATATCACAGATATTTTTATTTTATTATTTATAAATTGTTCTGTATTCTTAGAAAATATAGCGGTGTAGTTTCCTCTGACTTTCACCACAGTTTGGAATTCAGAGTTTTCTTTCACTTAAACTGGTTACCGCCCAAGGCTAGTAGACTCAGTCTACCCTGCTATTTAAGCCATTCCTGGTGGAAGAAGAAACCTTTTTCCAAGGGAGTTAGCGCAAAGGTGAACGCAACAGATTAGACCGAAATTTGAATTCGGCAAGCCGAGTTCACTTTTTACACCACCCGTACTTTAAATTCTGCAATATTAAATGTAAATTGTGAAAGGTCTTATAGATCAACAAATACTGTTGTTGGTTTTGATGCAAAGAGCGGTTTTTATATTCAAAATTTTTGAGATGAGGAATGATTATATTCCTATTGCACTTCAGACCAGCTTACTCATCTTTGTTGTGTACTCACAACGTTTTGACCGTTCTAACCTCTGACCTTCTTCAGGCGTCTATCTTTGTACCCAGAGACCTTCTTGAAATTTCGAACTGAACCCTTTATTCAATTTTCGGGTGTCGGTTATTCTCATTCTATTTTCAATGCTGAGGGAATACGCACGAGACTGCCCCCCCCCAAAAAAAAAAAAAAAAAAAAAAAAAAAAAAAAAAAAAAAAAAAAAAACGGGGGCTTGGTGGATTGAAGAGTTCCTTAGCAGTTGTGAGTTCAATCCTTGAGTCTGATGGTGCTAAAATATCACCTACCCCGGTTCAGTGGGAGGAGAAAACAAGTGATACAAAAGTGAATAAGAGTGGAAAGTATCTCGCTAATGTACGAAGGCAGACACCTGAAGAAGGCCAGAGAGCACAACAGCCGAAACGTTGTGAGTATAACACTCAAGATGACAGGGATTTTCCTTTATTGTCTTTCAAATTCCAATATAATTCCCTGGAAAGATAGTGGAGTAGTTGCCCATTACTTCTTACACGGTTTGGAATTCAGAGTTTTCCTTCTCTTAGACTGGATGCCCATCAAGGCTAAAGTGCCCAGTCTAACTCGCTATTTAATTCATACAAGGGTAATTGTTCGAAAGTGAGCGCAAAATAATTTGAACTTTTCTCCCCGATAACAATTTCACTAACCGTACAACCTCCAAGTCAATCAAGCCGATCCAGCAAAGCTTAGGGGAAAAATAAGAAAAGTTGAGGAAGAGCAAAAAATAAAATAAAAAAAGGAAGAAGAGGAAAGCAGAAAGAACAAAGTAAAAAGAACAAGAACAATATGGCGGACGTTGATAGTATTAGACGTGTGCTAAAGTTTTCATAGAAAAAAAAACAACTAGCTTTCAATTATGTAATTAGTGTGTAGTTTTCAAAAAAAAAAAAAAAAAATGAGGAGGCCTGGGAACTTATCCACCCACCTAATAGAAAACGACTATCACGAAGGGTGGTAATGGTGGTGACACACATACAGAAAGCGAAAGTGAGATGCGATATAAAAGTGAAAGAAAGAGAAAGGTAATGTAAAGAATGAAGGAGAAGGATATGGAGAATAAAAGATGGAGAAGACGCGAGGAGAGAGAGAGAGAGAGAGAGAGAGAGAGGTAGCGAGAACAACAATGGAAAGGCTAAGTAAGAAGTCGGAGGGAAAAAAAGAAAAAAAAGTAAGCGGGAATGATTAAAGAAAGAGTAGGAGGGAAGAAGAAAAATATGACCTGCAAAAGAGAGGGAGAAATTCGTGAAATGAAAGAACACTGATAATAAAGGTTGCAGAGAAGGAGCAGATTGGGGAGAGAGTGTAAGAAATAGGAAGAAAAGGAAACACTGAGAGTAAAGGCTAGAGAGGAGGAGGAATAGACTGGGAGAGAGAGTGTGAGCGAGAAACAAGAAAAAGGAAAAGAAAGAACACTGAGAGTAAGGGCTGGAGAGGAGTAGGGGGAAGAGATTGGGAGATAGAGTGTGTGTGAGAAGCGAGAAAAAGGTAAAGAAAGAACATTGAGAGTAAGGACTGGAGAAGAGGAGGAAGTGATTGGGGGAGAGAGTGTGTGAGAAATAAGAAAAATGAAAAGACAGAACACATAGAGTAAAGGCTAGAGAGGAGGAGAAGGAAGAGGAGGAGATTGGGAGAGAGTGAGAGATAGTGTGAGAAATAAGAAAAAATGTAAGGAAAGAACAATGTGAGTGGTGGCTAGAGAGGAGGAGAAGGAAGAGGAGGAGATTGGGAGAGAGTGAGAGATAGTGTGAGAAATAAGAAAAAAATGTAAGGAAAGAACAATGTGAGTGGTGGCTAGAGAGGAGAAGGAAGAGGAGGAGGATTGGGAGAGAGAGATAGTGTGAGAAATAAGAAAAAATGTCCAGGAAAGAACAATGTGAGTGGTGGCTAGAGAGGAGGAGAAGGAAGATAGGAGATTGGGAGAGAGAAATAAGAAATAAGAAAAAAATGTAAGGAAAGAACAATGTGAGTGGTGGCTAGAGAGAAGGAGGATTTTTATTATATGAATCAAATTTTATTTTCGTCCGTCTGTTAAAAAGGGAAAATTTGAACATCGCTGTAATCAATTCATTTTATGACCAAAAAACAAATAGTAAGGTTTTTAGTTTCTCGACAGCCAAACTTCTCTTTTGAAAATTTCCGCCTGTATTTTTCAGATGCGGTATAATTATATCATTATACAGTGATTTATTCACACTGATGTCCTTATCCTGGTTGTTTTGTTACAGTCTCAACGTTTCAACGATTGTTCTGAATTTCTTCAGATATTTACTCTATTTACATGCGGACTATTGTCCTCATCTATGTTGTTGTTATCACAACGTTTCGATCGTTATGCCCTCCGGTCCTCATAAGATATATGTCTATCCGGGTAACCTACAATTCCGAACTGGACCCTTTATTTAATCTACTTGTGTAGACAGTTCTCGTTTCAATGCCAACGTCTAGGGATATCTTATCTAGTTCTTCAGGTGTCTATAGTATTCTGGAGTGTGCTTGAGATTTCAAACCATTTATTCAATTCACGAGCATAGACTGTTGTTATACGACTCTTCCTGCAAGGGGACATAACTCATGTTAGTTAATTATCCTCTTATGAATGTCACTTCTGCATATTCTGCAAGATTTCACTGCTTTTGCTAAGGACTGAACTCAAAAAATACAGGTAAAAAGTAATGCTAATGACGATTATGGTCTTGTAGTGTATTTTCTTCCACGGAGCCTCGTTAAATGTCTTTTGAGTTTAATTTCAACCAATGACAGCTATTAAATTCGAACTAACAAGGCTAAATATCTGTGAAAAATAAGATCTAAAGATTATTGTTGTTTTGAAATTATTTTCTCTATTCTTTATATTTTTCGGAGTTTTATTTTTATCTTTGACACTGCGTTTCGGTCGATATCTTTTTCGGTCTTCATCAGGTGTATCCGATTAGTTGAATTATCTTCAGTCAGTTAAGTGTCATACGTGGGACACACTTGGGCGATCATGTCTTGATTCATGACTGACTAGGCAGAAGGTTTTTGCAGTATGTTGCAATTTCTTTCTGCGGCAGACTGGTTGCCAACCAAGACTGGTTCTGCAGTATACTGGTTGCCAACCAGGGCCACAGAACCCAGTCCGTCTTGCTATTCAACTCATAACTGGAAGGAAAAGAGATTAATTCATACTTTTTCCAAGAGTATTTGCGCCTAAGTGAACATAACGAATTGGACTGGAATCCGATCTCGGATTTCTCATTCCGAGTCGCTAACCATTGCACCACATCCTCACATCACGAGGAAAAATTCTGAAAAATTCGTAAGGATAAAAGATTTGTAAAAAAAAAAAAAAATGAATACACAAGCAAAAATATCCTAATGCAACATTTAGTTCTTTTAATTACGAATTGAAGAAGGTGTAGACCAGATACTATATATTTCAGTAAACGTATTTGCATCCTGCTGATATTATGATACACATTTCTGATTACTTGAACCGTAAATTCTCTCTTCCATTATTTGAAACACATGATTGTCTCTTCAAGCTGACCGCTAACGACACCCAACTGCCTTCAGTCTAACAGAAGGGTCAGGTGCAACATCGCAGTAACATTGCAGATTAGTGTTCATTCAACAAAATCGAATGCGGAAATGAGCATTAAGAACAATACCTTTAGCAACTGAAACCAGTATATCAAGTGCTGTCTCAATATATATCGTACAGATGCGTCGGCTTGCGTCATCAGGGATGTTAATATTAGGTTCATTGATTGTTTAGAGTCTTTCATTGCCATACCATCTCGCCCATATGATCCCGACGCTGTTGATCATGCGACGGCACTCATCCGAACAGCGTTTAACTTTCGTTGCATTCAACAAAAATAACTCTAAATAACAGTGTCACCAACTTGTAGTATGTCTATATTTCTGAGATGAGGTATTATGTACAGTATTTACATTAGTCGGACTATTGTCCTCATCTTTGTCTGTGTCATGTGTCAAGGACACATGGCACAGTGGATGAAAGCGTTGGTTAGATCCAGTGACAGACCCAAAGAAGGTGAGTTCAATACCTGGTTAAGGCAGTGGAGAACTTTCAGAGGGAAAATTAGCAGGCGATAACTGATAACTGACATCCATCAAACATGGCACGTGGAACTAGAACAGTCTACCCCAGTGATCGAAATAAAGGGTTCAGTTCGAAATTCCAACCACCTGAAGAAGGCCGGAGCGTACAACGGCCGAAACGTTGTGACAAATATGGCGACAAAGATGAGGACAATAGTCCGACTAATGTAAATGCTGCAACTTGTAGTAATTGATCAAATTGAGACCATTTAAAGATCGCAGGCTCATAGCACTGGAAACCTACAATCTGCCCCGTTCTCGCGATTGGTACGAGGCTGTGCCTCGACACCCAGTCATGCGATTCTCATGACGAGACAAAAAGAAAGAATAAAAAAAGTAAGAACCGAAAAATAAAAAAAAGTTGATGAAGGTCGAAGAATGCATGAGCCGTGATGTGGTGTCAATAACAAAATGTAAACATATGAATAAAAAAAAGTCCAATTTTTTTAATGGACAAATTGAACTTCTTCTACTTGATAATATTAAACCGATCTATTTTCCAGTCCCGACAGGTGTACAATCGTCGAGAAAATAAGACAACATTTATTTTTTATTCTACGTCTTCAGGCAAAACGCATTGTATAATTTATCTTCAGAATTTTGCTAACAAGATAGAAAACACATGCGTTACATTTCTTGATCGATTCTGTTAAGCATTTTATCGTTAGCAACAGATGGTGAAGCAAATCCGTAGATGATAATTCTTTTGTAAAGGGGCAGTTGAAAGTTATAACATACACAACGAGGAAAAGGTGCTAGGAGAATTTTAACTCACATGACATACTGGAGGTAAGGGAAAACAGAAGAAAGAAGTGATGATTGAAAGACAAACCTTACCAAGAGTTACAAAGGATATGAAGTTTTGGAGAGCCATGATTGCTCACATCCTGAAAGGACAAGGCACGTAGAAGAAGAATTTTTTTTCAAGTTCACTTATTTTTCATTGCAACTGACTTAAACCGTCAATCACCTGAATAAGTAAACATCACAAAAATTAAACAGAGAAACCCTAGTCAAAATGAAAATATTTCATCTAAAAAAAATTCAAAGAAAGCTATTACCTGTCTATGTATCTGAAATGAGTTAATTCGGACTATTGTCCTCAGCTTTGTTGCCATGTTTATCACAACGTTTTGGACACATGGCACAGTGGATAAAGGCGTTGGTTAGAACCAGTGACAGGACCCAAAGAGTTGTGAGTTCAATACCTGGTTAAGACAGTGGAGATCTTGGAGAGGGGAATTAACAGGAGATAACTGATAACTGACAACCATTAGACATGGCAAGTAGAACTAGAACAGTCTATCCCAGCGAGCGAAATAAAGGGTTCAGTTCGACATTCCAACCACCTGAAGAAGGCCGGAGCGTACAACGTTGTGATAAACATGGCAACAAAGATGAGGATAATAGTCCGAATAATGTAAATAGTGAAAGCTATTACATCTGATTACTGCTTGGTGTAAAGAAACAAGAGAAATAAGATGAAAGAAAAACTGGTCCAAAATTAATAACAACAATATTTTTTCTAAGAAATTCAGACAATTAAAACTAGTTGCAAAATACTGAAATGTTTTGGGCCCGACCGACATCCCCAAATAAGTAATCTGATGTTTTATTCATTAAAATACAGATTTTGGCAAGTGCTTCAGACCAAGAACATTTTAATACACTCACGGAAGTTACAGAAAGAAGATAATTATTTTCTCTGTCAAAACTGAAGAATGATTAACACCTCCAAAACTCGTGATGATCAAAGATTATAGCAGCAGATCCCTCATCTAATCTAGCTCTAATGTCTCAGTGGGATGAGACGATCCATTGCTAAAGATGCAAGAAAAATGGTCAGTTCCCGCTACCACTCCAGTATGTACCTAACTCCTCCTGATATCCCCTACCTTTACAAGAGCTAGATCAAGCGTAAAATGAAGTACTTCTGCCATATTTGGACAGGAACTGATCAGTCCTCACTTTCCAATCTTGATAGAGCTCCAAAGGTGACAAATTATTTTCTACCCTCCAACCTCTCTCTCACAGGCGGGATGTGGTAAGCATTTCGCTGCTCTGTCGCTATTTCCATGGAAAGTGCTCGGATGAACTGCATTGCTTGGTTCAGCCAGTTCTAACCTACACAGCGAGGACCCACCATGCCACTTACATTGTATCAAACCAGACACATGACCCCCGTATTCCATTGATGAAAATTAAGTTCCACTCGAACAGCTTCTTCACCGAAAACCACTACTCTGTGGAACCGATTCCCTAGAGGATGTTTCCCCGATCAGTACAATCATAACTTGCTCAAGTTAACCTGTAGTGAACAAAACAAGATCTAGATTTAAAATTCAAATGCTAAGCACTGACTCATTGATTTTTTTTTAGAAATTAAAAAGACTCGAATTTATACACACACGCAAAAGCGAATCCAAAACAAAACCGTGAAATGTTTTTCGGCCAACTAGGAAACATTTAAAAACAAAATTTAAATAATCTTCAATTCTCAGAAACAAATTCTTTTACGGACATTTTCGCGAGCCGATGCAAAGTTTGTTCGTCGTCCAATGAAAAAAGGCCCGGGAGTGAATTCCCAAATAATCTTTTCAAGCCCCACAAACAAAATAAAAGACGGGCAAGTTCGCCTGTCACCAGAGAGAAGGAGACGAGCGTATTAACAAACGTCAAGCGATCGTTATTATTATCTCTACCTTTCTCCCTCGCCTCATTTATACTTGATAAACGAACGGAACATTTTAAGACTGAGCGATTACTTCAAAGACATTACTACCCTGTAATAACGCTTATGCATACATACATACATACATACACGCATACGTTCCTACCTACGTATACATAAACTCATCCTTGCAAGGACTACTACAAATATTTTGACGACCTTGTATCAACCAAAATACATTAATTTTATTTGTAGAGACCTTAATTGATTTATATGTATATAAATTTGTTGTTTCACTTTACAATTTTATTTTCTTGTTTTATACTCCTCTTATGATGGGCTATCTAACTAACAAGGCCAAATCAAACTAATCTGTTTCAACACTCATACACTTCGCTGTAACTGATAACCCAGTATAAAACGTTATCTTTCCCTTCTATCGACCTAAACTGCCTCTTACTCTGTAATATTCTACGTCGAGTGCCCCGGGCTTTGTATAGAGTGAAACTAACCGTGAAAAAGAAAAAGAAAAACGCTTCATTTACCCTTTATCACTGTATGTGACTTCATATGCTTTACAAAAAGTTTATCCTACCACTGAAGGTGACTGATCACTGAACAATAGTGTGTTTGAATTTCGTATGTTGTCATATCCGACTATGGCAGAAGAAAACCTCAAGTGAAATTAACAATAAGTATAATGCAACTGAGAGCATTTGAAAAAAAATGCAGTAGAAAAGTAAGTAATAATGCAGTGTGATAAAGTTAAAAAAAAAATAGAATCAAGATAATACATCAAATAAACATGCCTAATCAAGACAAAAATAGCATACCTTTTTAAATTTAGATAATTAAAGGTATGAAAAACAAAAGACGATAAAACAGGCTTCTGTAAATAAACTTAGACATGAAGCACAAAGAAACAAGTCTTGTCCTCAACAAACAAGTCTTTACAACACTTAAAATTCAAAGGAATATTTTTCTATGTTAATGATGTGCTATGCGAATTGTGGACTCAATTTTGACCAGAAATAATAAAAAATGTTTTTTCTGTTTTTAAACCTTTGAGACCTGACAAAGGCTTTACCGGTGGTAGATTAAAAATGACCTAATGCCCAGCCACTGGTTGAAAAGTGGAAGAAAAAAAGGCTTCATACCCAACTACCGGTTGAAAAATGGTAGAGAAAAATGACGTAATGCCCAGCCACCGGATGAAAAGTTGTAGAGAAAAATGGTTTAATGCCCAACTACTGTTTGAAAAGTGGCAGAGAAAAATGACGTAATGCCCAGTCACCGGTTGAACAGTACTAGAGAAAAATGGCTTAATGCCAAACTACCGGTTGAAAAGTGATAGAGATTAATGACGTTATGCCCAGCTACCGGTTGAAAAGTGGTAGAGAAAAATGGCTTAATTCCCAACTACCGGTTGAAAAGTGGTAGAGAAAAATGACATAATGCCCAGCTAGTGGTTGAACAGTGGTAGAGAAAAATGGCTTAATGCTCAACTACTGGTTGAAAAGTGTTGGAGAAAAATGATGTAATCCCCAGCCACCGGTTGAAAAGTGGTAGAGGAAAATGACGTAATGCCCAGTCACCGGTTGAAAAGGGGTAGAGAAAAATGACGTAATGCCCAGTCACCGGTTGAAAAGGGGTAGAGAAAAATGACGTAATGCCCAGTCACCGGTTGAAAGGTGGTAGAGAAAAATGGCTTAATGCCCAACTACCGGTTGAAAAGTGTTAGGGAAAAATGACGTAATGCTCAACCATCGGTTAAACGGTGAGTAACTATTTTTTTTACATGTACCGTGAAACATTACATACCAATTATTATCAAATTTTGAATCAGGAACTCAGGAGGCAGAAGGGTTAAAATTGTTCAGGAATGTAGGGTTCAAATGGTTAAGTATCCACAATGCTGCTATTTTTGCGCTCATTGTTATTGATAGAACCAAATAAACATTTTTGTTTGGTTGGGAAGAGTGGGGGGAGAAAAGACGAATTTAAGTTTTTCAATTAATTTTAATAAATGAGATATCCAATTTTCCTGTTATTTAATTGAGAAGTGTTGCAAAAAAAAAAAAAAAAAAGGGGGAAACAGATTTTTTCACGCGCACTGAAACAAGTTCTTATGAATGGCACGTTTCAAAAATATTCAGCTAAAATTTTCATAAAAAAAGATAAAAGGAAGATGTCGAATACAATACAAAAAAAAAAAGAAAAAAAATCTGACTTACCCGTTTCGTAACATCTACGACAAACCTTCATATACTTTTGTACACACACAAACACACACACTTGAAATTTTGTATTTTAGTTGGCTATTTTGTTATTTTTAGTTAATTGTTTTGTCTACGTAGAAGAGAACGCCGACATGTAACTAGTAAGATAAAAATATTACCCAAACCTTTTCGACCATAGTAGAAATTAAAATTCCGGTAAACCGTTCTGTTATGGTAATTTTCTCTGGAATATATATATATATATATATATACATATATATATATATATATATATATATATATATATATATATATATATATATATATATATATACATATATATATATATATATATATATATATATATATGTGTGTGTGTGTGTGTGTGTGTGTATGCGTGTTTCATTAAAGACGACTGACAAGGTAATGCTGTTAAGATTTTTAATTATCTTATCTTGGGTTCGTATATGTTTTTCTGTTCTGGACATAAGATG